AAAAGAAATCCACAATGAAATCACAAAAACAGCCTTTATGACAATAAAATGTGTCACTATAAAGGTTACTTCATTATGACAGAACTCTAATTTGTTTGTAAGGTAACACTGATACTAGAGAAAGTGTTCAACTACTTTAAGATCTCTAATAAACAGATGATCCAAGAGAACAAATAGAGAAAATAAATTAGTAAGGATATAGATGTGAACAGTGTATTTACTAGTTCAACCTTGGGGACATACATTGCAATATATAGCCAGAGAATCTTTCTGTGCACAGGAGGACATTTCTAGAAAAAAATGTTTCTAAATACAGTACTGGTAAAATAAATAAATAAATAAATACAGTACTGGTTATTAACAGATTCCCTGGATCACAGTGCAACCAAGTTAGAAATGATCAACAGAAAGACAAACAGGAAACCCTTCACTTTTGGAAAGTAAGCACACTGCTGATAACTTGTGAGTTAAAAATGACTGCGTCAGAAGTGCATGGCTGGTTCCAATTCCTTTAAAATATGAGCACCAATTGTCGTCTGATCCTTCTCTAAGGTACTGTGATCAAATTTATGGAAAACAATTCTAAGTGAGGACTAGGTTTTCAACTTCATAATCTTATGAAAGGCAACATTAAATCTGATTCTAAATAAAACAGTTGAGGCCAATATGACTTTGTTTTTTACAACTAAAAAACAAAACAAAAAAACTGGGCACGGTGGCTCATGACTATAACCTATAATTGTAGCTGAAGATGACAGTCCAAAGCCCAACTAAGCAGAAAAGTCTGAGACTTTCATCTCCAATAAACCAGCAAAAAGCCTGAAGTGGAGCTATGGCTCAAAGGGTAGAGCACCAGCCTTGAGCAAAAAACCAAGTGAGAACGTGAAGCCCTGAGTTCAAGTCCCAGGATTAGCACCAAAAAAAAAAAAAGGTTCACTAAAAACATAAAACTAAAGAAGAAAAACAAATAGGGATGGCGCTATCTCTTTCATCTCCAACTTTGTGTGTGAGTGTGTGTATACATCTTTGTACCTCTGTGTGTGAGAATATACACACATATGTATGTGTATATATATGCTTTTAATACATGAGCCACTATTTCACTGCAATTTCTTTTTGCTCCTCCAAACTGTTACTGAGGAAACAAGGGGAGCATCATGGCTCCAGCCTCCTGGTCTGTGGCATCCTAAAGAAGGCAGCTGAGTCACAGTCAGGAAGGATAATGACCCTGTAGCAGGGATCAGAGACCTCAGGAGAGCTTTTCCAGAGGAAGTGAGGCTCTGGCTGGGATGTAATGTGTAAAAAGAAGACACACAGGTGAAGAGGAAAGAGAACAGCAGTCCGGAAAGGAAGGGACGACACATACAAGCTACAATTTTAAGTGTGGAATTAAGTAATCTATGACTTAAATTTCAGATGGTAGCGTAAGAACAGAATGAAAACATTAACAAAAAATCTTTCCAAGAGTAACAGACCAAAAGAAAAATGGCAAAATTGGTATGCTTCCTAACCTATTCCTTCTTTAATAAACTTTCATCTTTCTACTGTCACAGAATTTTTCTTTCAACTCACACAAATATTGCGTGGATATTTTACTTAAGACACCTAATAATGACTGTTACAGAAAACTGAATGGTAAGCATTTTCCATACTGATCTTTAAAAAAAAGTAAAAATCAACTTTAATCCATAAGCCCCTATGATTTTTTCTATTCTTTTGTTAATATAAAGATGTTTTTGCTTAAGCAAGAGTTGCTTCCTAAAGTGTTCTCACAAATCACACTCATTGCCTACCAGGCTTTTTTAATGTTCCACACCCCTTTAACTCAACCAAGCAATCTATGTAACATGGATATATAACTTAGGATCCTAGAGCTGAGAAAAACAACAACAACAACAAAACTTTAAAGAAGTGGTAAAGAAGAAAAAAAAAGAAGGGAAAGAGAGGAAGGGAGAGCATCCCCTCCCCAACTTGTTCAGATTGCTCTTCAGAGTGGCTGTGTGCACAAATCAGTTCTCAAAGAGCAACTCTGATGTAGGAATTTTAGCTAAGACATGGAAGTGGGGAGGAACTGTCAGTAAGTACTTTATGTCCCTTTCCATGGATAATATTTCTTTCTCAAGACTTGATATTCTAAATAAAACTTAAATTTACTCCAGTTCACTATACAGTACAAGTCAATTTACTCAATTTATCACAATACAACCTTTGGCAGCTCCCAAAAGAGGGCAAGATGAAAAACACACACCAGCCTTTCATTGTTTGCTAATTGAGACTCATATGGTCTAGAGACTAGAGCTGAATTCAGCATTCTACTGAGGAAAGATTAGAGACAAAAATCAGATAATCCTTTAAAATGTACAATTACTGATTAACTGGCTTTAGCAGTGAAGAGATGCCCAATTAAACTTCTTCTAAAACATCCATTCTTTTTCTACTGTGAATCTACCAAGAGTCTCGAAAGCCACAGTAGTTCAGAAAATATGAGAGAACAATAAATAAGGAAAGTGTACCTGCAAGAACTAAAGCCATTCTGTTCATTGCAAAGGGGAACCCAGCATGATGTAAAATTCCAAATTTTGATTCTTTTCCATTCCTTGATGCTTGTAGAAAAGCCTAAGTGCCATTTGCGCCTACAATGCTATTAAAGTCATTCTTCATTATTCATCAGGTACATTCTTCCTACCTAGAAATCAAAGTACTCAGATGGAGAAGGGAAGGGTAGTGGGGGCATTGGGGACACTGGGGGGAGCATCAATGATAACTTTACTCCCTGGGAACAGTTTAAGAAGGTGGATTTGGCACAGATCTCTCAGAAGGAGAAAGAACCCATCAATGTGAGGAAGGCTCTCATGGGTGCCCTTTCTTCAAATGACAATCACTTGTCACCTTAGAACCCTGGAAATGAGCAGCAGGAGGAACACTGATTAGAAAGCTGAGAACCACCAGGCTTCAGAATTGCTGGAATCTGCCTTGAGTGGCTCAGATAACAAAATAGGAAGTGCTTACACAGGCTGTGTGTGGGGTGAAGACACATGTGATTCAAGTTTAGTACAAGAACCACTGTCCTTTTCAATCAGACCACAAATGTTCACTCTGTATACCTGTACCTGAAGTACACTGGTGTCCCAGAGACCAGAGTGAAACAGCACAAACCCACTACTATGAAATACATCTGTGTTGTAAACCACTTGTAAAATGCTGCAAGATGACCGGGTAACACAGATGTGCAAATTGGACATTTCTGGAATGTTGGGTAACAAACCTCAAAATCAAATTTCCGTAGAAGTCTTTTTTTTTTTTTGGCTTGAGTTAGGCTTTTTTTTTTTTAAGTCATCATATAAAATTTTACTCATTCCACTACAAAGGATGGTATTGCATTATTTGCAAAGAATTGGGAGGACCTGGAAATCATGCTAAGTCAGGCCAGAGAGACAAAAGTTACATGTTTTCTCTCATATATAGAGTTAGTGTGTGTCTGTGTGTATATATACATATATATGAAAGTTTGGGAGGTACGTAAGTCTACACACATGTTTTAACAGAAATAGTGTACAGTGTAATTCCTTAGTAAGGCTAAGTCAAAGGTTAAAAAAAAAAAGGAAGCCGGCAGGTGAATGAAAAAAAGGGAAGAAAATGCAGTCAAAAATTCAAAAATTTAAAATCTGCCCTACAAAGAAGAGTGAGGGCAGGCGGCTGGGAGGGGGTGAGGAGGCTGAAAGGTGAAAGGAGATGCTTTATATTCATAAACTGCTTGTTCAATGACAACTCCTTGGCACAACTAAAGTTGTCGGGTTTATTCTTTTAAGTCATGATGAAAACTTAACATATCCTAGAAAGGTGGTAGGTTCTATGGCACCTCACACAACCAAGGCACAGCACAGCCCCAGTTACAATGGAGGGGTGATCACTTCACCCACGGCAGCCACAGGTTGCCGGAGGAGCAGCGCAGACACCCAGACGGCCGGGACAGACCCAGGACTGACCCTCGCCTTCCCGCGGGGCTTCGAACGCGATCCTTCCACCACACAGAAACACTGCTAAAAGCGAGTTGCTTTTCCACGGCGCGCTCTGCGGGCGCGGGCGCGGGGAGATCCACGTGGGGCAGGGCAGGGCGTTGTTTACCGAGTCTGCGGAGCGCGAGCCTCCAGCGCGGCCCACCCCGATTAATCAATAGCTCCGAGGGCGCCTCCTACCCGGGCCCCCCACCGCAGGTCCCGGCGTCCCGGGCCCGCGCCTGACACCGAGTAACGCCCCCAATACGCCCGAGAAAAGGCGGGGGGGGGGGGGCGCCGGGACTCAGGAACCCCGGGAGTGTGTGCGTGTGCGTGCGTGTGCCAATTCCACAAACAATGACTTGAAACGCGCGGGCCGGGGCTCCCGGCCAACCACCTGGCCACAGCCCCACGTCCTCCGCGCAGTTCGGGCCTGGGCCATTCCCCCACCCCACCCCGGCCCGCGCCCGCGCCGGCACGGAGCCGGCGGTCCCGTCCCGCCGGACCCGGGCTCCGCTCGGGCAAAGCCGTTCACACCGAAAAAGCAGCCGAACGAGAGGAAAACACAAACAAGTGGCGCGGAGGGGTGCGGGGGTCGGAGCGCGGTTCCCCCGGCGCCGCGCCGCGTCCACCCGCCGCGGGGGGGAGGGGGAGGACCGCGCTCCGCCGGGCGGAGGCGGCGCGGGGCGGCCGCGCACCCCCGGGAGGACGCGGGGCGCCCCGGGAGGCGCGAGCTTCCCGTCCCGTCTGCGCGCCCGCCTCCGCCCGAGCCCACGCTCAGGTGCAAACTTGCGGACGCACCCCGCGTCCTCGTCCCGCGCACCGCCCCGGGGTCTCGCGGGCCCGGCCCTCCGCACCCCCGCCCCGCGCCGCGCCTGCTGGGGACCCGCGAGGGATCCGCGCGGCCTCCGCGTCCCCGCCGCCGCCCGCCGCCGCGGGCCCCGATCCGACCCGCGCCGCGGCAGGGCCGAGCGGCCGGCAGGCCCGGCGCCCCGCGCCCCTCACCTTGGTGGCCATGGTGGGCGGCTCCCCGCGGCCCAGGACGGCCGGCCGGTCTCCCGCGGTGGCGGCCGGTATCGGTACGAGCCCGGCGGACGGCGACCGCGAAGGCGGCGGTGGCTGCGCCTCGGCCCTCAGCGCTCAGGCCCCGCCGCTGGGCGCCGGGCGACTCGGCCGCCGCCCGCCCTGCAGTTCCTGAAAGTCCCGGCTGCGCGGCCCCCGCCCCCGCCGGCCGAGCCTCCCATTTACCGCGGCGTGCGCGGCGCAGCGCGGCGCGGCCGGCGGAAGCGCGCCGGGGCCTCGGCCTCCGCCCGGCCCCCGGCCTCCCCCCGGCCTCCGCCCGGCCCCCGCCCGGCCCCCTCGCCGCCGCTGCCGCTCCCGCCCGCCGGAGCGGCCCGGTCTGGGGGGCCGCGGCACGGCCCAGGCGGCGGCGGGTGCGAGCCGCCCGGGTCGCGGCCTTGCCCCTCCTGCGCGCCGAGGGCAGCCCCGCGGGACGGTGGAGGGGAACCAGGAGCCGTTTGGGGGCGGGGAGGGGGGGGACGCCTCGCCGAGCCCCGACTCCAACTCACACCCGGCCGGAGAGGCCCGCGGCGCCATTCTCCGGGCGGGAGGCGGCGACCATAACTTTATCGAGTCGCCGCCCGGGTCCCGGCCCCACGTCCGGCGCGGAGGTCGAGCGCGGGGAGCGCAGCCGTGGCTTCCGGCCCTTCGGGAGCCGTCGCCCGCCGGGCTGGGCCGGGGCTCCGGGCCCAGGCTTGGGGCCTGCACCCGGAGGTGGCCCAGCCGCCCTCCCCCGACGGCCCAGGACCCCGGCTCGGGGGCACACGGCTCTCCTGAGGTGGAGAGAGGTCCCTGTTCCCCCCTCTGTGGGTCAGTGTATTTCCCCCTAGAGTTGGGTGTATGTGGGTTTGCGTATCAATAGCAACACGCTTAGACTTAATAGTAATAGTTGCACTTAGTTTATTTAAGCACTTCAGATACACCCAAACCAAAAACTAACCCCTAGGCCTGCTCCTACTTAGCCTGCCCCACACCCAGGGAAGCTCATGGGTCACCTCACTTGGTCACTTGGTCCTGAGAGGTCGTGGGGAGTCTGCTGAGGGTGACCTCCGAGTCGCTGAACGGAGAGGTGGCCGCCTTGCTGGGGCAGGCTCCCGTGGAGGGTCATGGGATGTGCATTCACCTCGCTCTGGGAGGTCGTCTGGGTCTCTACTGCCCTGGGTTTTTATGTTTCTGGGCTATCTTGGTGATATCTTCGCTTCTGGTCAGGTCTGGTTGTCGATGAGGGCTGGTTGCCTTGGCGATGGCCCTGCAGGCTCCCTGGGTGTGTTCTTATCTACCCATTCCATAATTCTAGCTTCTAACTCCCAATTTAACATTTCATATTATGTCACAGCATACATACATTCAATATATTTCTATTTAATAGCCTACCATATCAATATTCAATAACATTATGTCTCTATTTAATAACACACTATGTCAGTATACACTATCAGCGTTTAAAAGCACAATATGCCAGTACACACTGTGTCAGCATCTAATATCACACTATGCCAGTGCATACTATGTTAACATTCAATTACACTATGTCAGTATTCAATCATATTCACTACACCTGAGTAGCTAGGATTACAGGTGTGAGCCACTGACCCTGGACTGACATATCTTTTTAATTAGAGATATATTTCTTAAAAGAGAAAAATATCAAACCAACAGTATTAGGCTAGGAAATAATCACATGTGAGGACTTGGGGTGGATACCTAAAACCCCTCCTCTGAATTGTGTCCTCTTAAAGAACACTGATTATATCTTGCCTCCACAGAGTTCACTAATGCAGTCAATAATGGAGTATAAATGGTACTAGAAAAATTGTGGGTTTTTTTGGTATTGTGTTTGTTGAGCTCATGGTAAAAGCAATGTTTTAAGTGCAGGAAAATGGAAGTTAGAGGCCTATACAACCATCTGCTTGTTATTGTTATATGTTAGGTTTCTGTACGCCTGTATGCCATTTCATCTTTTGAGAAAGTTACTGTCTATATTTACAAAGATAAACTCCTCATAGACTCACATAAATAACTTGCCAAATTTGGTAATACTAAACTTGAAAATGAGGGCTGGGAAGGTGGCTCAGTAGTAGAGCACTTGCCTTGCATGCATGAGGCCCTGGGTTCGATTTGTCAGCACCACATAAGCAGCGAAAAAAAACCTGGAAGTGACACTAGTGCTAGCCTTGAGCTGAAAAGGTGAGGGACAGCACCCAGGCCCAGAGTTCAGGCCCCGTGACTGGACCCAATAAATAAATAAATATTTTAAAAACTTGAAAATGATCATACTCTTGGTTCTAGCAGCTCTATTTCTATGTTTGTCTTTCTGTTGGACTTGTAAAAGTGAGCAAAATTGTTCATCAAAGCATAACTTGAAAATAACCCTAAACAGGAATAACCCATGTATTTGTTCATAGGACTTTTTCAATAACATCCATATGAGCGAAACTCTGGGACTGTTTCCCATCTTCTGCTTCAGCCAAACTCAGAAGAAGAGAGGCATGCACCAGTGAGTGGTTCACAGTAATACATGGTCCTGCTACTTTGGACCAGCTACTTGAGATGATTGGGACTGAGATTCAAAAACAGCCTGGGCAGTTCACAAGATCTTTTCTCATCAAAGAGCTGGATATAGTGTGTACCTATTATCCTAGCTACTGGAAAGTTTAACCTAGGTAAATGAGGCTGGGCATAAAGCAAGACACTGTCTTGAAGACAGTAGAACACAGCTGGAGACATGGCTCAGTGGTTAAGGATGATTATCTAGTAAGTATTGGGACTAGATTTCAAACCCCCATACAAGAAAAGATATCCAGAAAGAAAACTTGTCTGAGAGGCGTGGTGGTTCATAATTGTAACCCTAGCTATTTGGGAGACTGAGATCCAGCGGATTATGGTTCAAGGCCAGCCTTGGCAAGAAGTTCACAAAATTTATTTCCTCTCCATCTTGCCAATACAAAGTGGCAATCCTTTATCATCCTCACTCTGTGGGAAGTGTAAGAAGATTATGATGGATGGCCTGGGCAAAAATGAGACCCTATTCAGTACTCTATGTACAGCTGGAATTATCTGGAATTATCCTTGTATTACTGCTATATAAGAATTCAAAAAATTATTTTTGCAAAAAATATCAAGAGCAAAAAAAGGCTGATGACTTGGCTCAAGCAGTAGAGCATCTGTTTAGCAAGTACTGGGTCCTGTACTTTTATTTTTTGTAAGTTTCATGTAATTCAAGTTTAAGCCTTGAAAGCAAAATGATCAGATTTACTTCTAATCTGTGCTCTAAATCTGTCAGTTATCTTATTAGGCATCTTGTTTCAACCGTGGCTAATTGGTTGGTGTTAATTTTTGTCTCACTTCAAGTAAGCCCTCTCTGTCGCTCTGACTCATATATGTGAGGCACAGGATCATCTCAACAGCAACGGGACATAGCGTCTACAGCAGGAATCAGATTGCTAGGACCTGAGTTGTCCAGGGGGCACAGTAAGGAATGGTTGGAAGGAAGGTGCTTGAGACTACGTGAGGGCACAGATGGTGGAGGGTGGCAGGGAAGGCTAGGATATGGGTCTATAATAAGGTTATTTGCTAGGTCTGGGTGCATCCGAACCCCTCAACTCCTGAACCAGAGGGGAGGGCAGTAGCGCTAACACTGGCTCCCCAGTTGCCTTCTCAAGTGGGTCCCAGCCTGTAGGAGCCCCAGTGGGTCCTGAAACTTGGCCCTGGAATACGGTTTTGATCATTTGACCTCTTGTAGGTGGACTCTGTTATCCTAGCTACTGGAAAGGCTAACCTAGGCAAATCAGGAGGACCTCCAAAGCAAATTTACATTCAGTGGTCAGACGCAGAGAAGTTAAAAGTGGGAATAGGAATCTATGTACACCAAAGGACATTTTACTAGCTCAGGCCTCACAGGCCGCACAGGGTTACGTTTGAAACTAAGCATCCCAGTCACAAGTTAGCACATAAACACTCTCCATTCTCCTTTAGTGGATGGCAACTCTAGTGACAATTACTGTCTCTGTCCCTGGGAGTCTTGTTCTCTGGCCAGAAAGGCTAGCCACTGCTGATGGCTGAATGGTGAACAGATGGCCAGGCCCTGCAGTTGGACAGTCCTGAACCTGAAACCCATTTTTGCGTCTTATCACCTCTGTGAGCTTGAACGAGCTATATAATCTTAATCCTTTGTACCCATTTCTGTCTTAGTCCACTTGGGTTTATAAAAAGCAGAACAATGTAGACTCGGTGACTCCTAATTACATTTTTTTTCTCACAGGTCTAGAGACTGGGAAGTCCTAGATCAAGGTCTGGCAGATGGACATCCAATGAGGGCCTGCTCCCTCTTCAGAAATGGCCATATTCTCACTTGGTAGAAGGAGGACATTTCTCTTAGGGCCTCTTTTATGAGAGCGCTGGTCTCACAAATGACCTAGTCCAAATATTGAAGGGCCAGTCACATTCTCATGTGATCACATTATGGTTAGGATTTTAACAGGAGTTTCAGAGAGATGCAGACATCCAGACTGCAGGAGCGTGATGCTGCCCTGTACTTGTTTGGAAGGTGTAATGGTACCACTCTTAACTGCAGCAGTGTGCTGTCCTATCAGATCTAGCTATCTTCAATAACCACTTCACTTGTTCTATAACGAATGTCCAGGTATGCTGTCTGTACACAATGGGTATAGTGTATTTACTATTCATATGTAGTAGCTGCATTTGCTCATTCCAATGACATTTCATTCTTCTTTTCTATTTCAATCATTCTCATCCTTTCATAATTCTGTTCCTCTGACCTCATTGTGTTTCACTTCAGTCCCTCAGTACATAAAATTTCTTCTTTACAATGTCTAGCAGCTCTAGTTCCTTCAAATTTTTATAGACACTTCAATTTTTCTGCTTCTTAGCATCAATAAAGCTTTGATGATGCAAGGAAGTGTCAAAATGTAAGATTTTCTTTTAAACAAGCAAGTACATGAAAATTCACAATAGTAAACACAAGTCTGACATTAATTTTGAAATAGGTAATAAGTTTGTTATACTTTGCAGAAATTCTAAGCTTAACCTTAAAAATATTAAGTAAATAACTTTAGAAACACCTGGCTTTTAGAAGTAGCCACT